TTGGGCAAAAGCAAACATGGGTTTGATATCCATTTTTTTAATTAATTAAAGAGGTTCGATGTCCCAAGCTGAGTAAAGTAGCTGTTGGCCAATACAAACCAGTAGATCTAAAGTGCGACGAGCAATCCCAACGATTTGATACTGACTGTCAACATGAGTGTCCCTCTGGTTACAACATGCACCCAGGAAAAAAATCTGACCGAGTCAACTCGCGAGTTTGCAACTACGAGAATGGTACTTGGAACGGACAACAACGTGTTTGTAAAGGTACATAGTTAGTGCAACTCTTATCGCGCACGAGTTAAGCTKCTGGTAAACTTTTTCAGTTATTACGGGAATATCCAACGTTAAATATTCGGCTGACTAACCACGCACAAAACCATTGAAGACGAGGCTCATTGGAAACAATACACGATTGTTTATTGTTTTCCACGAAGCCTCGTCTTCAATAGACCTCTGAAGCTTTTACGTCATTTGACTTATACATTGCATTATAGGACATGTTTGAGACAAAACATGGCGTATTTCTTTTGTTTTTGTTTTTTTTGTTTTCAGAAATTGATCCCAAAATGCGTTGCAAACTAAGTAGGTGACGTAAAAGGTTCAGAAGTCTTTTGCGTATGAGCCTTCAACCCGTATATCGAAAATTGGCTAATGATTGAATTTAGCGTACATGTGCATGGTTCGCTCTCTTTACTTTTACATCATGGCCACCTGGTGAATACACTAAATGTTTTGCAAATAGCAAAAAATTCACAACAGTGGCGGATCTAGGATTTTTCAAAACGGGGTCCAGATTTTCCACTTTTTTGATTTCAAGTGCTGTTCGTTTGAATGCAGATTATAAAACTCTTCTGATTCAAGTTAAATAGAAACGGGACGGTGCAACTGATCCCGTTTTTAACTCGAAGATTGATTCTGTCACTCACTCAGTCACTCACTTTCCTGTAAACTTGAGCCTGCTTAAGTTAATAAAATTTTAACGAAAAATTTAATTTATAAATCGTTTACTTAAACTTCTATTTGTTAAGTAATTATAATTTGATTCATCGTATCGTTCCGTATTCGTCTACACAATCAATCTTCGAGGATCTACCCCTGGATTTGGTAGCGCACACTGACTCCAAAATCGTTTTTAGATCACGAAGCACCAGTTCTATCCTGCCCGAAAGACCAGACATTAGACAACGACAAAGGAAAAAGTACAGCAACAGTAAATTGGAGTTTTAGTTTTACGGACAATTCCATCACTGCCGGTGCTCCAGGTGTATCAAAGGATAAATTCACGGTTGAGATTACGATAGGGAGCGTTAAATACAGTGAAAAACCTAAAGAACTTGAAATTGGTACTCACACAGTGGTTTACAACGTGACTGAYCTTGATGGTAACTGGGACAAGTGCACGTTTTACGTCACGGTCTTAGGTAAGTGAATTATAAGGAAAATGTCATTTGAATAAGCACCCAGTTTGTCAGAAAGTCCTTTATTTGACTTTATTCCATGTATTCGGATTATAAAGTGTGTTAKTGAGAGGTATGACATTGAGTGTACTTGCAAGGACAAAAGCGATTGGCTAAAAATTAAAAATTGGGAAGAACTCCAGGAAACAATAGAGCAATGTGTGGGGGGTTTAGATCCTAAACACCCACCTTCTCCGTGGCTATTGGCTCTTATAGACACTAAGAGGGGCTTTCCAAAAAAAGATTTCTTTCTTGCAATTTAGCGCGCAAGTCGAACAGAAGTAAAAACGTTCTGTGAGACAATCTAATAATAAAGAATAAGGTTTTTGCTTAAATTACGATGTATTTTTATCTTAAACGTGAGCAAAAGCTCAAAAGGGATGCTTGTGTGTTTCCTTTAATCTAATATTTTCCTTGTTTGTCTTTAATAAGATGTTGAGCCGCCAACCTGTGAATTTTGTCCTAAAAACCAAGACCTTGAATTAACCAGTGGCAATGCAGTTAGACTGAACTGGGACAGTCCAAGATGTTCCGATAACTCAGGAAAGGATCCATCCATTCAGCCGAACAAGAGGAAAGGAATTGAGGTRAARCCACCYGCAATTGTCACCGTGGAATATACCGTGGCTGATGAAGCTAAACCAGAAGCTAATGTCTACAGGAATTGCAGTTTTACCATCAAACTCACTGGTAAGTTTATTAATAATTATTAATAATGAATGAACTATATATGCTCCAATAAGGGCTGTCTATTTGGTCAGGTGATTGACCTTGTAAATCTGATACAACACACGGCCCTACCATTGAGACAACCCAACACTAGCAAAGGCCTCAGTTTTGATATCGCATCATAGACTTTAACTTTACTGATGCAAGCAAAGACAAACAGCAGCACTCTCTTATCCAACAGATGGCTTGCTTTCCATGTGGGATAAATGATTATTCAAAGTGTCTCTGTTGCAGTAAATTACGCAAGCTTAATAGCGACGAAATTCAACAGTTACCTTGTTCGTTATTTATTTCATTGTAATTCATGTTAGTGCATAGAAATAAAGTTAAGTATATGATTATAGTGGTTAGCAGGAGGTTATTCCGAGAGAAAGACCCTTGTATATGTATACTACATTTACAGTAGCAGCGTCATCTTGCAAGAAAGCCGTGCCATTGCATCAAAGCGAACAGTGGTTGAGCTAATGATAACGCCTGTGAACAGGTTAATGTAGGTACGAATAAAAGGCGCTATAACTGCAAGTTCGACCACTATTTCACTTTGCTGCAAAGACTCGGTACATGTGGCGCTGGAAAATGTAAAATAAAATATTGGTAATGACAGAAGTGTCAGATGAGGGGGTAGGAAAGAAAATTATATCATTTCAGTGGTCATGAATACGATAACACTATTCTGGGATACATGTATTCTATTTTTTCAGTCCCTGGATGCAAAGCGTATGCACCTCCAAAGAATGGCGCTAGTAGATGTTTTGAGTGGCAGGGAACTCTTCAGTGTACTATAGCATGCAACAATAAATTCGACTTCGTATTCAATCCCGCTCAAAATTACATGTGTGACAAGGGAAAATGGACAACTTATGGTAATCCCATGATACCCTTCGTTGACAAACTGCCCTGGCCCGACTGCTCTTGTAAGTAGCCATAACGACGATCCATTCTGTAAAGTAGACTGGATCCTTATATTCAACCTCGTTTACAGGCACTTATCCGTCTGTTACATAGGGCCTGGGAGCGAGGTTGCTTTAATCTTTCTTCCGGTTTGCTGTAGCTCTCAAACAAGTCAAGTCGTAGTTATGTCAAAATTMTGCCTTTTTCACCAACCAGAGTCATTTTCCTGTCATTTCAAAAAGAGGAAAAAAGCTCAAAAAAGGAAAATTAATTAGCTGTTACCCACAGGCCATCGCGCGACTATTTTTCGTACCAGGACTTGGATGGATCATATAGGTTATCCAAGCTCTATACTGATAAAAAGGACTATTAGGAATGATTGATTCGCGCTAATTCATCTTTTTATTTCACAGCGCGTGCCAACCCAAGTTTTGTTAAATTGTCAATGAATCCTGTCTACTTCTACGACGGAGACTGCAATGATCCAAATGTTCAAATGAAATTGAAGCAAGGTTTCATGGCTCAGCTAAGTCCCCCAAACTCACCTCCATTTTTTTGTGTAATGAATCCGCAATGTAACGCACAAAACGTGAAGATCCACTGCGGCGTAATGGACGCCTCYGCGAGAAGAAAACGACGAGCAACAACTAAGCAGGTGATGATTTAAAAAAAAAAAAACAGATAAACTTGATAATAACAGATAATCTAATGGAACTTGGGAAAGGTAACCAATTAGTTACYCACTATCCTTGCTTCCATTAAACGACAATGAAATAAGGAAAATAATAAACAACAAACGTGAGGGATGAACAAAGAATGGTAACCGAAATTCTTTTCCTTTTACCATTCCTTTTAAAAGGAAAGTGGAAGTAAATGAACATAAGRTATTAAGCCAGGTTTTTCCAAACAAGTTCTTGTTTTTTAAAGTTCATCTATAAATGATTCTTAGGGGAGGTTAAGGTTATTCTAAAAGGTTCCCATAGAGAATTAGATGTTCATGTTTTTAAAAGAAAGATTTTATACAAGTCARTGCAAAAACCGGTCGGCTTCATCACTGCCTTAATGACTGCAAATGATTTTTAGTTAAAACTTCTATTTATGTACTATGATGWGATAAATCTTTAAAAAATGGTCAACTTCGGTTTTGCAGTTCTTTATTTTAAYATAAGGCTCATCTCTCCAGGTATACTTCAAACTAAAATACGTCGAGAAATCAAACTTGGTCCAGGCCGGTAGCGATGACGCCGATAACCAGAAAAAGTTTGACATCTCGAAAGCTGAGGTCGARAAGAAGAGACAACAAGTCTACAACAGTCTGAATAAGGTGGATTGGAATGCATTCAAGGTCAAGACAGGTCTTGATCTCGGCGGAGGCGCTGAAAAGTTAAATTTGAAGCATGCTGACGGGTACTGCTCGGAGAGCGGTGGTGTAGTGCGAAAGTGCAAGCAATTTGAGCTTCAATGGTTCAAAAAGTGTAACCAGGACAAAGGGGAAATTACAAAGTGCAGTACGTATTACAATTGGATATATCCAAATTATTATATTATTATACAATAGAAAACATTTACTTATGTAAATTGTCATTAACATTGGCAATACGGCTAATATCAGCAGCTGCTGACGCCGGGAAGACGCTTTTCCGTCGCAAATTATGCAAATTAGATCAAATTTGTTTTTCGATAGGCGATATACATTATGGCGTCATTTACTACAACTACCAGAATGCTTTGCCAACTTTCTTTTGTAATGCAATTAGTGCCAMTTGTTTTATTAATCTCCAAGGGGATTAAAAATCTGAATAACAATGAAAATGCGCTAGGCTCTCTGTTAGTTGTAGTAAACTTACGTCATAATGCAAACGGTCTATTCACAGCATGAAAATGACAAAAAAAAGAAAAGAGTTTTGCAAATAATGTAGTTAAAGAACAGCGTAGTCAACCTATATACAAAAGTGTATAAAAATATGTGTGGATTTGCGAGAAATGCGCGCTCGCGTCATTTTCAACCAATCACGAATCAAGAAATAATGCAATCCTCCAGAGTCTCTCACGCACTGACTTCCGCTGGATGACAAAAGTGCGGGCTCTGGGTACGAGATTGTAACATTGCGCATGACAATTTCCAATTTCTTTTAGTCCGCTGCCCAGTTGGTACGTATTACCACGCCGATGACGAAAAATGCAAGATTTGTCCCGAGGGACAGTTCGTAAATATTGAGGGGGCGCTCGCATGCAATCATTGCCCTCCTGGAACATGGACCTTTGGGGACAAAAAAGAAAACTTCACTTCTTGTCAAGGTAAGTTTGTGCCATCTAAATAAAATTAATTATTTTATTTATTTCGCACAGGGATTTTTTTTTTTTTTTAAATCACAACTTTTACTTCRACCCCTTTTGAATGCTAGCGAGTTCTTTGCATCAAAGCGCRAAAAATGTTGAGCTTTTTCCTTTTCGATTTCTTAATGGTTGCCTTGAGGCCGGCATAAGCTCATGCCTAAATMGAGAACAATAGCCAAGTGAACATAAAACATCGCAACATAAGCATAGCAATTAGCGTAAGACAAAGCATAATTAAAGAAAAACACCTCCCTTTTGTGTTCATCCTCTTTTGTAATCCCTTTTGTTTTAGTTTGTTTATGCTGTATCGCTCTGATGCAAAGGCGTGGCTTWTCAAAATGGCTACTCGGTTCAAAATGATGCTACTAACATTAAATGTTTTCCTAATTAAATACGCTTCTGATTATTTTAAATAAGATGAACATAAAATGATAATAAAATTATAAAATAAAATAAAATATAAAATAATAATAAAATTATAAAATACAGCTGTTTGCAATAATTCTGACCCCCTCTGCCATATTTCATATATATCAAACTGACCTTAAATATTATGGGATATCATGACTGATATATTTTTTGAGTTGCCCAGAATGAGTACTTTCTCAAAAAAAATATCAGCATTGGTATCCCATAATTTCTAAGGCTACTTTGATATATATGAATATTAGTGTAGGGGGGTCAGAATTATTGCAAATAGCTGTAAAATAAAATATAAAATAATTATAAAATATAAATAAAATGCGCTAGAAGGAACGTATTGTTACACAAGAAATGTAAACCACTGGGTGTATTTTTTAGCCGAATGTGGACCAGGATATTTCTCTAATACGGGAATAGCACCATGCATGCAGTGTCCAGCCGGCACTTACTCAGATCAAAGAAGAAATACCAATTGTACAACATGTCCTACTGGTACAACATCGGTAGCCGCCATGTCAAAAAGACTCGAGGATTGTGGAAGTAAGTCASACCGACGTAACGCTTGTTTTCACGTCCAGAATTTTTTTTTTTTTTGAAACTTTTTTATCAGAAATAATGTTTTTTCTTGGAAATGATGTTCAGACATACTTGCCCTAACCGTCATTTATGGCATAAATATGGCACAATATTACTTGCGCAACGAAACAAAACATGCTACATGACTCAGAAAAGTTTGACAAAGTACTCGACTCTTCCTTGAAACAGCTTTTACAATAGTCGAAGTTGTACGAATCAAAATCTCGAGTAACGGACTCGCAGAAGAAAGTTTAACAAGCAAGAATCGCCTCTACGTGTGTAATGTTTACATATGTTAATCMTTTATAGCGGCCTCGATTTTGTGAACTCGTTCCAGTCTCTCAAAACAGTCGTCGCCATTACGACAGACGYGWACATGTATTATGGTCATGTAGCTAGATCCCCATGTWAAGTTAACATAAACCAATGTTGTTGTACTTGTTTTAGTGATATGTGCYCCTGGTACTTATTCCAGTAACGGCGTTGAACCATGTAGTCCATGTCCCATTGGAACATATCAGAGTGGTTCTGGCAAAAACTTGTGTCTACCGTGTCCAGCAAGGCTTTCTACCTATGGTACTGGTTCTTCGTCAACAGCTAATTGTTTTGGTAAGAAGCGTACAGGCATTTTTCAAAAAAGGTTGTTAGAGAAAATGGAGAAAACACTGCCAGTCAAATGGGGGTTGTGGGACAGACGATATTCACTCGGTAAAAAGTATCTGACTAACTATATGATGGTCACTGGCTTGGTTTAACGGATTGTTATCTTATTTCTTGGAAGCTACCTAAATACATCAAGTTCTTGCCATGTGAACACCTCGATATTAAGGTCTAGAAATACGAGATCAAAAAACATAAAGTTACTATTTTGTCACGAATAAGAGTTTCAGATCTACAAACATAAAGTTGTTTGGGGACGTTAATTGCTGTTCAAGTTTGGAGTTATGTTTCTCGTTTTTCACTGGCAACTGGTCGCGCCAACTTGTYGCGCAAGAACAACAACGACACTAGCAACAACAACAACGACAACAACAACAGCAACAATAACAGCAACAAAAACAAAAACAGACCATGAAAAACGAGAAAAATGTGGGACGCTAAACTTGAACACCCAACAATGCTGCACGAGAAGTTGAGCTTTTTTGTATTTCTCGATCTTCACGGACAATCCGCTTTACAAACACATAAATAATTTCTCACTTAACAGCTTACATTATTACCGTCTTGTAGGTGTCACTTATAAGAACTTATAAGAACAGTTGTGCTCATTAATAGAGTTTGATATGCCGGCACAACTTCTGTACTTCGCAAACTCTTCATTGATGACTACAATCGTTGACAAAATCCTTGGGCCATTCCAGAGAATGTCCTCATTTTAAGTAACAACAGCAGACAATTTCAGCCCCCCTAACCCATATTATACAACCATCTAAAACAATACATAACAATGATGTAAGGGGGCGGAGTGGGAGAAATATGAACTGAAAATAAAGGAGAAAACGTTTAGGCTGGAGACAAATAATTCTAGGATCTAAGGTTTTTGGGCAACGATTGTAGGTTCATCCCATTAATGGTTAGTAATCCTAATATTCAGTGATTTCTCAGAGGTCAATGACTGTGTATCAAGCCCGTGCAACAACAATGGACAATGTATCGACACCAAGGAGTCTTATCGATGTGAGTGTCCTTTTGGTTTTACTGGTAAGAACTGCGAAGAAGAGGTCGACGAGTGTTCAACGAATCCTTGCTTTGGTAGCGCTACTTGTATTGATAAGGTCAACAATTTTTGTTATTAGTGTTTTGTATTGATGGTTGATATTTTTTTAATTTGTTTTTTTGTAATTTCATGACTCGCTCGTTTACCCGCAATGCATCATGGTCATTGACCAATGACGTCATGCGGTGTTCGGCGCGATGCATTATGGGATTGACGAAAGTACAAACTGAAGCCATGTTGTTGTTTTTCATGCTGTTTTGCTAGTAAAGCATTGTTTGTTTCTAAGAGAAAAGTATACTTTATTGTGTGGGCATCTTATGTTCTTCCAAAGCATTTTCGACAACGTATAAAACGTTGATTCTTGAAGGAAACAGCGACGGCTTCGTAGTTTTTATAAAAACATCCGCCATCTTGATATTTTACCATGATGCACTTAGCTAAAGTTTGAGAAAACGTGACGTCACTAGTGGAAAATTTCCAAGTCATTTATCCCATTTATTGTTTCATTCACATCTCCATTCGTTCCCATTCATAACACTACCGATTTCACGTCTAGATTGGCAGCTATATATGTTTGTGTCCAGAGGGATACACGGGTGAGAAATGCAATCAAGCGATCAAGACTTGTCAGACTAAAAACCCCTGTGTTCGTGGTACGTGCGTGGAAAATGGAGCTGGAACACAATGCGTCTGTCCAATCGGTTTCGAGGGACAGTTCTGTGAGAGAAATACCGATGAATGCGCAAGCAATCCTTGCCAAAACAAGGCAGTGTGCATTGGTAAGGAAAACAAAATAACTAAAGAACTGAGAAAGTGTTTAATTCTAACTGAAATAATATTTCGATTTTTTTTAATGGCTTATTAAACTAAAATAATTTTCTTACTCAAACCCCAAAGATTCTTGAAGAAATTTGTAATTTGAACTTTGAATAATAACTCACGGTTGCCACTAWTCTAAGACAGGGCTTAGCAGCGTGTTGTGGATGAATGTCTCACTCGGCCAAATTAAAATTACTCAGAATACGCTAAAAATCGCTGAGGGCGACTTTTCAAAAGTACAATATGTTTAGCACGAAATGCGTTTCAACACGTGGCGGCACCATCACACGAAACGTGCAAGTACAAAGTACAAAGGTATTCTTCGAGGTAATAAGTTTTGAATCTCTTTTCAGGCGCTGTTGATAGTTTTCGATGTTATTGTCGAGCTGGATACTCAGGAAAATTGTGTCAGTTCAACAACGACAACTGCTTCAACGATCCATGTAAAAATGGCGGGAAATGCATCGATGGCGAGCAATACTACACGTGTCAATGTCAACCCGGATATACTGGCGYCAACTGCGAACACGAGATTGACGAGTGTCAATCAAGTCCTTGTCAAAATGGAGGAATTTGTACTGATAAAGTAAACGACTTTAAGTGCGACTGTAAGCCTACGTTCACTGGCAAACGTTGCGAAAAGAGTATGTAATTTAATAGTATGGCTTGCGGTTCAGGGGAATGCARCTCCAACTGGAGGACAAAACGATGGATTCTAGTTCCCAATAGGGCTCTTGTTTTGTCCTCCACTGAAGCTGTTTTGACGTCATAGAATGCAAGGAGTAGATAGAGACGATAATTCATTGAACTGGACAATATGTAGAAGATATTACATGGGCGTGTGGAGATAYGGATTTTATCATCGCGTGTTGAAAAGATCTTTCACGAGTGATCGCGGAAAAAGAAGATGAAAGAGCACACTTTTGATATTCTGGTTGCTCTGGTTGCTCAAAAGTCTCCGGCTCATCTTCTTTTGAGCGTGGTTAGCCGTCAACCAAAATATCAAAAGTTAGCGTTCAGGATTTTCACAAGTGAATGTAGTCGTTTTTATTTATTCGTTCAGTTGTTGTTTTGTTTGTTGTTTTTGTTTTTGCCTGTATTAATACTCGTCTATAGGTCTTTCAWCAGTTAATAATGTGCCTCGACGCCATTTTGTGCAGCACAACAAAGTATAAAGTATGATTMTTCGCACATTTTCATGTCCGCTAAAACAGAACTCATAAGCCATAGTAGTAGTGATGCCGTTTGTACAAAGACATAAAAAAAACTTTTAGAAGCCACATTAAGTGCAAGGACTACAAGTCCCATGATGCTTTGTGGTACAAAATGTACAAATCACGTGATGCTTTTTGGTACAAATTGTTCAACTCTTTCGTTTGATTGATTAACTTATTTTTCTATTCAAATGATTCTTTTTATTTCTTTTTTAACATTAGTCTTACTTTCCCTCTCTACAGAACTCCTATCAGATTTCGATCTGGCTTTYCAAGACCGATCAAGTCCCGCGTATGCAGAAATCGAAAAAGTCATCCCAGATCTGCATGTATTCACTGTAGCTATGTGGGTAMGAACCACTGACACAAACCCCGGAGTACCGCTATCGTACGCTTGCATGGACGCCGGAAAGAAACAAGACAACGCCCTAGTGATCCAAGACCTCAGCGGTATCAACCTAATCATCAACAACCAAACGGCATTCCTAGGGGTCGATATCAMCGATGGCTTTTGGCATCATTTTGCAGTTTACTGGCATAGTGGCTCAGGACATTGGAACGCCTTCCTGGACGGTTCAAAGTTTAGAAGCTCATCTGAACCTTTCCAGAAAGGTCAAGTCATCCGAGGCGGWGGTGTAATGATTGCTGGRCAAGAGCAAGACGACATCGACGGAGGATTTAACGCTGAAGAGAGCTTCCTGGGWGATATTAGTCAGATGAACGTGTGGAGCCGTATTCTTACTGATAATGAGATCTATAACTTGGCACAGACTTGTGACGCTGCACAGGGCGATGTTGTGGCTTGGCCGGACTTTAGGGAAAACCTTTTTGGTGTTTACAGTGTTACGCCCTTGTCGTATGCCTGTAGATGTAAGTTTTGCTAGTGTGTGGTATTAGCGGRTCATGTWTGGATTGCAGTAAGGATGATAAAAACTTTTTAGAGCTTTTAGTTGTACTGCTTAGAGACAGAATAGGCTTGAATGAGAATGACGGGACTGACGGGAAATATAATCATGTTCGTTTTTATTTATATTTAATACAAATTTAATAATTCCCGCAAATCGTATTTTGTGTTCTATTTCCAAAAATGCACRTATTTTTGCTGTTTCTATAAAGAAAACTCACAAATAGATTTCATGCAGGGATCATTTTTAGCGCTCTTTTTTACAAAAAATGCGAGGGTTATATTTCACGCTCTTTCACAACGAAAAATTACGCACAAATTGACTATTGTTAATACTAACTTAAAATCCGATGTGCGTCCGAGAACCTTTGCGGTCATATGTTTTGTCTTGTTGAAATTTGATTTTCTGGTTGATTCAAAATCAAAGATGTGAAATAATGATCAACAAATTTAAGAAAATTCCGATTTCGATTCTCGAAGACTTGCTCTGTGTAAGCCTCATTTGTGCGCAAAATATTCCTGTGAGAATAAAAGTGTGAGATTTCAAATCAATTCTATTGTTTTCATTTCAAATTCCATGCGTTTTCTTGGCCTATCAATGAAACAAAAGAATATGTTACTTCGTTTTGAGGCTAACACAGAGCAAACCAGAACTCGAAATTGGAGTATTCTCTTTTGTGCAAGCTTAGCTTCAATCAAAAATAAATTTTTATTGTCTTCTTTGTACACAGAGTGTTTGCATTGCAATAGAATCTCTGCTGAATAAAAGAATATTTTACATGCTTTCGAGGCTAAGACTGCACAAATAAGATATCGAAACTGGAGTAATACTTGGCGTGCAAGTTACGTCATCACCGCCATGTTGGATGAAGATCACAAAGCACTTATTAGTTTCTTTTTGCACATTCATCCAACATGGCGGCGATAGCTTTGTTTTTATTTTTTTCATGGGGTTACTAGTCATGTGGCTGCACACCAAGAATACATCATTTGCATGTCGGAAGAAAAGTTTTTTGATTCTCCTGGAAAAAATTGTTTAATCTAAYTCGCAATAGCCTCGCTGTATTCAGATTTTGACTTATCATGTTTTTCTTCTCTATTTTTCAGTCGACAACGTATTACGCTACACCACTGTGATGTATAACGCAAGTATTTCACAACACAACAAGGTTATCTCATCAACCTCGCCTCAAGCCTGCGCKGCCAGCTGTGACGTAGAGACGTCGTYCTTGTGTCGATCGTTTAATTTCGACAAGAGATCTAAAAAGTGCTATCTGAGTACAAAACATGCCGTAAATAACCTTGTTARAGAGGATGCCAGTAATACGTTTGATTACTACGAACTTAGTAAGTGATTTATAACAACAAAGAGTTGACACTACCAAACAGTCAATCAAGCTATCAATCAATCAATCAACTAATATTCAACCAATCAATCAAGCAAGAAAACAAGAAAGGGATCAAACAATCAAACAATAGATAAAACAAAAGAATTAATGTCAGACATTGGTGCAAACTTTTGATAAAACGATCGATCAAGCAATCACTGAATCAATCCTATGTACAAGCATTGAAATGTCAGTGCACAAATTTATCCAATCTACAATAACAAAAAACGATCAAACTTCTTTCCACAGATTGTGCTGGTCCTTTGGGAGTGTACAGCAACAAGATCATTCCAGACAGTCAAATGTCTGCCTCAACATCTCATGACAGTYTTCACGCCGCCAAATATGGYCGTCTTGACGTCACAGCCCTTTTCAATTCCAATGGACACAAAACTTCGGTTGGGGCCTGGTGCGCAAGAAATCTAGATTCGAATCAATGGCTACAAGTAAAGTTCAATAATATGATGAGAGTTTCAGCTGTAACCACGCAAGGAAGAGAAGATTMCGCTCAATGGGTYACRTCATACGATTTACAGTATAGCGGTGACGGTAACTCGTGGTCGAACTATGGCGTGAGTATGCCAYGAAGAAATTTTTCACTAATATTAAACGAATAACACTGGTCAAAGTTATTTTTATTCTTAGTGTAAATTTTTTTTYATACCAGAGACTGAGTGGGAACTCTGATCAAAAAACCAAGGTCCGGCACGAGTTACGCGTGTTTACCGCGCGTTACGTAAGATTTAGACCAAAATCTTATCACGGGCATATTTCTATGAGAGTTGAAGTACATGGATGTCCACTACGTAAGTTATCAAAAACGTTTCATGGGCTGGTCAATCTTTGTGTTGCTTGCGTTAGGAATACGTTGCTTTTCAATCTGGATTATAGTAACTCTTGTTGATGCTACAGTTGAATTAGCTAATATGTTACTTTTCTTTTTCCTTCTCACATTTTAAAGTCTGTACGTGACTTTGTGGTCTGCGTGTTTCAATACGTTCCGTTTTGTGTTTCTTGGGTAACATTTTTTAGTGTTACGGCATAAAGCAAMGTATTTTTTGCAACGTATATTTTTTGCGCACGTGGGTAATAACGCTGCGCAGATGTCTTTCTCTTTCATTTTGAGTTAAGTTCTATATTTTTTAATGTTTTTTGCTGTTGTTGTTGATTTAAGGAAAAGTTAAGCTTGGCGACTCRGTTAACGAGTGCAACAACGGACCTTGTTACAATGGAGGAAGGTGTTTCAACAGATACAATGGCTACCTGTGTGTCTGTGGGAGAGGCTTTACAGGAACACGATGTCAGACAGGTAAGGAAGTCGATAYATGGCTCTTCATATATATAACTTTTTTTCTCTCAGCTTTTATAAGTGCACCTGGCAACTGCTAGTAATTTTCAGTTTTATCATGGATGATAAAAGTGCTTTTATKGTTTTATACTGTCATTATAAGTGCAATTAACAGAATGTTGAGATGTATAAAAGCAGTACCAACGACAACAACAACCAAAATGCCACCCACAACATCGATGACACTGACACTGACCACAACAAAGCTAACGAAACTTGTTTCAATACTTTAAAAAATACTTAAAAAACTCATACATAATTAATGAGCTACTAGGCCCCTCCCTCCGCCATCTTGAAAGGTAGCCGTGCCTTTGCATCGAAGCGAGACGACCGTTGAGCGTGCAATGATAGAAACCTTTTTTCACACCTGCAGACAATTATTCACAGGTATCTATCATTGCACGCTCAACGGTTGTCTCGCTTCGATGCAAAGGCACGGGTACCTTTCAAGATGGCGCAGGTAACCGTGAAGAAGATAATTGATAATTATTGCTTTAATGACAGCTATCCCATGCCGTGATCCCGGTACTCCAATCTATGGGACAAAGTCCTCTACCAACTACAACCATGGAAGTACGATAACGTTCGCWTGTAAAACTGGATATAGAATCACTGGTTCTTCATCCAGAAGATGCGAGGGTGGCGTATGGACTGGAACTCAGCCAACMTGCGATGGTAAAATGATTTCTGTTCAGTTTTCTTCTTTATTTTATGTTTTATTGTTGTAGAAATGTTAAGGAATTGTAATGGGGTCTGTCAGAAGAATATTGGTTTATAGACAAAAGAGATCGTCACTTATACAGCTTTATACAAAGCGGAGTTTTGGCTTTTAATGAATTCCCAGCTTTTTCACAAGCATTACCATCGACAGCATTACAGAAACTCAATCCTTTAGAAGGCTTCAAACAGCTTCTTACGTGGATTTTTGAATTCAAAAAATAGAGTTCTTTCTATTAGTGTTTGAGTTGCCAGAAAAGTCTTAGTCTCCATGTGGAAACTGCAACCTTGACAACCTAAAGAGCGGGAAATGCAAATGGTACCCGCGTCCACCTGAACAACCGAAAAAGGCGGGAAAACTGCAATGTCTCCGGTTCCGATTGGATCGTGAAAACTCTAACATTTCTTCCTGAAGAAGTTCAAAGAATTAGAAATCGAATATTTTTTGACTTTGTTTCGTGTATTTCTTTAGCTCTAGCCATCTTGATTTTTTCTAAGTCTTTAGTTTCCAATAGAAGTACATGATATTTGTTAACAGATATAAATGAGTGTTCTTCAAACCATGGCTGTCCTCAGCTCTGCCACAACACCATTGGAAACTTCATTTGCGCATGCTCACCTGGATATAAACGGTCGGGCGGATCTTGTATTGGTAAGTCACAACTGGTKARCAGGGAGAGATTCTGRAAAAAAKAACACAAAAMAATCCCTWYCCCAGGAAAAAATTCGTACAAGAACATTTATTTAGAAAAATAGAACCMTTCGGCTACTGCTGACGCCTGCGATTTGAGATAGTAGGTCTTTTAGATCAGAATCTCTMGCTCACTCTGTCACGAGAGYRTTATTTTSGACTGTTGAGGTAGCTCAATCCACGAGTTAAATGCATTTGATGATTTATCTGCAGACATTAAAGAGTGCAGCATTGACAATGGTGGATGCAGCCATACCTGYCACGAGAGGGCTGGCGGRTTTACGTGTACTTGTCCTAGTGGTWTGATGTTGACACCTGGTAAACGAAGTTGTGTGGGTAGGTATTTAGCACGTTATTCACAATGGCTTTTTTATCGCGAGTGCTAGCCGTCTGCAAATTMATGGTAATTTCACAGACAAATGTGAGTCACAATCTCAGCAAATTAAGCGTGCTAGCTATCATAATTTGGGCGCTAGGAACTGAAAATCGAGCATTGTGGCTAAAATTACTGAGCAAATTACAAATTACAAATTTGCAACTGTAAACTAGACCRGACGTACATGACTAGACTAACAGTGATAAKCTATGCCTTTTTTGTAAACATTACAGATATTGACGAATGCGCCAGTAATAACGGTGGATGCCAACACACCTGTGAGAACACTCTTGGTTCGTTTAAATGCTTTTGTAACAAAGGATACTCTTTGAATAGCAACAAAAGAGCCTGCGATGGTAAGTACCACACTAAATCGCCGTGACTCAACMAAAACACAGRTRGTACCGTAAAGCATTATGGGAAGATAGGGGGTTCCAACCTCGCGGTTTTCATATCTAGTGTGGACATTKYCGCAAWCTTAAAAAAAGCCAATCACCGAAGGAGTTTGCGCAAGCTCCGCCCCATTTCAAAAGATTGGCAGCTCAGAAATCTCCAATAGCGTTGGCGTTAATGGTTGCTTTACARTGGKGGATCCAGGGGGGTTCAATGGGTTCCTAGGAACCCCCCTCGAGCATAAAAAAATGATAAATGAAATGTTGGTGTCTGCTACAGTTCGAGAGGCACAGTAAAAAAAGTTCGTTTTAGAAATGCGAAAACAAAGTGGAACCCCCCTTTGAAAAATCCTGGATCGGCCACTGCTTTAGTCAACTCTCAATACCAGTTATACATTTTAAGTCATTCTTTGAAATTTTGGTAATTGGTTATTTCAGCACTATCCTGCCCATCCCTACCCCCTGTAAATCATGCCACCGCACAAATCAGTAGCCTCCTTGTGGGAAGAACTGCTCGATACACGTGTAACGCTGGTTATCGAGCCATTGGGTCAACTAGACGAGAGTGTCTTGCCGACAGAACTTGGTCGGGAGTACAACCACGGTGTGAACGTAAGTTAAGAATCCTATAAGTTACATTATTTCAGTACTTCTTAGCAGTGAAACCATCACGAGACAGTGCGGTCTAATACTCCATTTTCAAATTTAAAACGAAAAACCGCTACTCTATTTGACAACAGATTCTCTTGTCAAAGACCTGACCAAACGCAAAAGAGAGCACGAGAAAATGTCGGTATTGCAATAGCCTTGAAAATTTGCATTTTCCTCCAGTTGAGACTAACTCTGYATTCCCATAAGCCTTCTGGTAATACATCGCTACCCTCAACTCGGGGAAAGTGTAAATTGTTACCGCTGTTGTACTATCGTGCTTTCCTTTAAGTTTGGTCTTTGCGTATGAGAATCTGCTGTCGAATAAAACAGCGATTATTCGCTTTGAATTCGAAAATGGAGTATTCACGACTTTCCATACTCAGGTTCGGTGACCATGAACAAAGCAYWGAACCGAGGCGTCAAGGTACAGTAAGCATAAAAGAAAAGATCTGTGATCAGTGTCCCRTGACGCCTCGGTTCAATGCTTTGTTCGTGGACACTGAACATGARTATGGAAAGTCGTGAGTTAATTGTTTTCATTCTTTTCCCCTCATAAAGGTGTATACTGTAGAGAAGTTGGCCAGGTCCCCAATGCTGCTCGCTCTCTGATTAAGTACTTTAATTCTCGAGCAGTCGTCGRAAGTATTGCTCGATTTACTTGCAATGCTCATCACGTGATGCAAGGGTCACGTGACCGTGTCTGTCAGAATGATGGCCAGTGGAGTGGGGAATTACCTCGATGTATACGTAAGTAAGGAGTTACGATTACATTGGTTGCTGTCTTATAATACAAACCAGTTTTATTTATTCAAACTTATTCAAGTTAGTAATATTTGAAATCTTTTACCGTGTCCAAAAAGGAACTTTTCGATAGAAATCTATACTTTTTAATTAATGATATATTCATATTTATACATAAAATGTCCGTCGAGATTACCAATTTCTCCCACCACACCCTCCCCTCTCCACATGAAGCAATTGTAATGAATATATCTTCCAAGAAGCACTCACTCATTTGGTCGCTGTATTGATAACCATCTGTCCCTACAGCTGCGTTCTGTTCTAAGCTGAGTACCCCAGCACATGGCACGGTRCAAGGTTACCGATTTGAACTAGGAGCAACTCTTCGTACCACTTGCGCGACGGGCTATGAGCTGAATCCACCATCATCATCGTTTAGAACTTGTCAGAAGWTATCTTCAGGAGGTGGAAAATGGTCCGGTCAGGATCCTGTTTGYCAGTGTRAGTCCAAATCGATACAATTTTGAACGTCCTTGTTCTTTCTTTMTTACGTTTGCTAAAATACTCCAGATACTAAAGTAGAATATTTGATTATCGGTATTCCGTTGTAGTGATCGATTGTAAGGACCCAGGGCCACCATACGGTGGATATCGTCATATTCCCGGTGGAACGAAATACAAAGCTACCGTTACATACACCTGTAAGCCACAGCACCACCTTCAAGGCAAGCCGTCCCGAGTCTGTCAGAGTAATGGCAAATGGAGTGATGAAAAGCCTGTATGTTTGGGTAAGAAATGTAGCTTAGCCAAGGCATTTTAACTGCAAACAAGAATTTGAGAGATTATTCCAGGGAATGTTTGCTGAAATTTAAGAGGAACTATGAAAGGAATGAAAGAAAAGAAAGGTAAATGAGAGGGACGGATAATGAAGAAACGAATTCCGCTATTGAAGGAAAGAAGTAAGGATTGAATATAAACATAAATAAAAAATGCAGAAAAAGGCGAAAAAGGCGAAAACCAGTAAGGAGAACATTCCAGACAGAAGTGAAAGAAAGAGGAGAAAGTGAAATGTTAAGTGGAAAAAAAGGGGAAGAATAAGGGAAAATAAAAGAATGAAGGGAACAAGGAGAAATGTGGCAAAGGGTAGAACTGTTCGTTTTCAGGTTACGTCGCAGCGGTCATCTTGGAGGAACTTTAACAAAGGATTTCTCTTTAGTACATATTGTTTATTCCTCCAACATTGCCGCCGGTCTTTTATCTTTCCTTTTGTTTTTAACTAAATTAGTTCAATGCACAGGTAGTGTGCAGCCTACAGGMCTGAAATTGCTTTGATYAAACTAGAACTTGATCTAAATGTTCTCGTTGCATTCTTAGAGAGGTCATGTGGATATCTTGAAGTGCCAGCCAACGGCAAGAAGAACGGCTATGGTCATCAATACGGCGAGTCAGTAACATTCCAATGTGATAAAGGGTATCGACTKGTTGGTTCTTCCAAACTCACTTGTCAAAACAATGGTCTATGGACTTCACCCATGCCAAAATGCCAGAGTGAGTACATTAGTACCTCTATAAGGTGGTCACCCTCTTTAAGCCGACCACAATAAGTCCCAATTCGGCTAGTCACCGTTTATTCAGCAACCAACCACTCTGCAGCCAGCACTTGTGTGGCCAGTTAAGTGTGGCCAGTTAATAGGGCCACAACTAGTCGAATATCCCGCATATATCACCTTTTAGAAAGTCTTTTATCCGGAAGGTGACACGCTTCCAAGCACTTTCTGTGAAGAAGGAAATAGATTTGACAGTGTATTTTCTGAATTTTAGACATTTGAAAATTGAAAATGCAAATGAAGTGACGTCAACTAAGGAATTGATCCAGACATTTTACATTGTTTGCGTTATGTTGTTCTTGGTTGAAGAGCTCAAATCATCAATCATAGTAATAACTGAGAGCTGGAAATGCTTTTTTCAATGTAACAAAACGAATAAAGTCCTCTCTCATGATTTAGTAAATGTTACTTCAATACCAATTGCCCATAAAAAAATACATTTTTTATAGCCATTTATTCCTTCACAGATGTACTTAGCAGCGTTTTCTCATTTCGATGAGAATTATTTCTAATGGTGTCATGCGCACTTTAAGAAGGCAGGCAATTTTCCATGTATGACGCCACAATTGTGGGGTTGAAAAACACTCCATTTATTTATAAATGAAGACTGCTTCTTCTGCGTATCTAAGGTTTTTAATCTTCAAACCAATAATATATATTACGTGTACTAACAGCCTTGAAAATGGCCGAAAGCTTGTTTTGAAGATTAAAACCTTAGATACGCAGACGAAGCAGTCTTCATTTATAAACAAACCTGCGTACAAAGAAATTCTGAACTCCATTTATTGTTTTATTTATCGTCAAGGATTATGGTCGCCAGACTAAGAGAGACTGGCAGGATGTGTCAGAAAATAAAAACACGATAAGAATATCAGACAATCATTGTCACATGATATCTTTGAGAATTTGAAAATCTGAAAAATTTTCGAAGACAAATAAAAARATAGTTGATTTTCGCGATCTCTTTTACACTGTATTAGCCTCAATTATGTGCAAAATATTCAGAAATTTGGATAAAACTCGTGAAATTTCAAGCTATTTCCATCGTCTTCTATACTCACGGATCTCTTGCATTTGCATTTTATKGTCAGAAGWTTCTATTTTTATCGATCGATTCTACCCCCATTTAACATGCTGTGAAATAGTGAAATAGGACAATTAGACAAAACAATGTATTAGTTTATCTACAGCATCTCGCTATAGAATAGTCCAACTGTAAACTTTGTTTGTTTTTTTATCTTTTAGTTGTTAGCTGTGGTGACCCTGGTATCCCAACCAACGGTAGACGATTCGGTGATAAATTAACTTATAAGAGCTCGGTGTATTTTGAGTGCAGTCCTGGATATAAACTAGTTGGTTCTATGCAGAGAGAGTGCCAGGATAGCGGTGCTTGGAGTGATACACAGCCAAAATGTGTTGGTATGTAGATTTATTAATAATTAATAGAATGTTGTTTTTTTTTCAATATGTCGAGGAACAGTATAGAAAGAAAGCGCCAAAACTACAAAACTAAATTAAATGTACAAATAGAAAACKTTTTTACGGTGATGTTTCCAAATGTTATAACTTGGGTTGCTCACACTTATTTCACACAACAGAAAACACGGTGAAATGAAAATTTTAAAAAATCTCATTTTTGAACAGCTTCTAGTTGTGGTACTCTACGTGTTGGACCCAGTGGAGWAATMACCTCACCMAATTACCCATCGAAYTATAACAACAACGACTATTGTACATGGGAAATTAAAGTTCCAGTCAACAAAAAGGTTCGTCTTGATTTCCAAGACTTTAAAACAGAAAGCGGCAAAGACTTTTTAATGGTCTACGACACTGGAAAACCATTCTCAACYRTCTATTTCGATGGCTCAACRTACTTRCCTGGGTCATTCACGTCCTCTGGGAATAGTCTTCGTTTAAGGTTTATATCCAATGGTCAGAACACATTGGCAGGATTTAAAGT